TCCGGGAAGTCGCCAACCGACATTGGCTGGCAGATGGAATCCGGAGGAGACCTAACCTGTGTGATCTAATCGGCCTATGGGAGGTGATCGGGCAGGATGGTTGATAGGAATGGTGAGAAGATTAATAGTAAAACAGTGCTGAGGGAATTATTTGTTTAGCAGACTGATGGCATTCAGGGGGGAAAAAACTGTTCTTGTGTCTAGTCGTTTTGGTATGCAGTGCTCTATAGTATCGTTTTGAAGATAGGAGAGGAGGGAGTCAAGCTATTTTCCACAGCAGCACCCAAAGGCCAGATAAGGATAATGGATGGAAACTGATCAAGGAGAGATTCATCCTGGAAATAAAGAGAAATTTCCTGACAGGGAGAACAATCAACCCATGGAACAGAAGTTGCCTTCGGAAGTTGTGCAAGCTTCATCCCTGGAAGCTTTCAAGAAGAGAGTGGACTGCCATTTGTCGGGGATGGCGTAGGGTCTCCTGCCTGGGCAAAGGTTTGGACTGGATGACCTACAAGGTCCCTTCCAACTCTGTTAATCTTTTAAAAATGTGGCTCTAAGAAGGGACATGGCTGGTCTTCCAATCCCTTTCCGGTGATCGGGGTCTGGTTTATATATGCCTTCTGTTCACTGTAGTTAGGATGCTGTGCTTTTTAGAAGACCACCTTCCTAGTTGGTTTATCTGGTTGAATGTTTCAAGAACTTCTGAAAGTCACCTGATTTCTCAGAAGGCTGGTAAATCTTTGCGTGTTTAAAATGGATTCCTAGTGGGGGAAGGCTGCGTTTTTTAATTTAGTTTGCGAGGCCATCAATTTAGCTTTTGACAGTTGAAAGCATTCTTCCCCGGCCAAACAGGTTGCTGTGTTGACAGGCTGTCAAGCGGAAAGGGTAAATGAGGTGAGACTTCATACACGGTCCATTTTAGCCTAGGGGGACATTGACGTGCAAGAATCCAGCTAGTGCCACAATTTCACTTCTCCATTTCATCACATTTGTCATGAAAGTTATTTGTACAGGTGCAAACAGAGCCATAAACATGGGAATTTGTGGTGTAAGGTTGCAGTAAGAGAGCTTTCCCCAGATAAGGGAGATAGAACTGCTTTTCAGGTGTGTTGGGATAACATTTAGGAAGCATCAGATATTAGGAAACTAAGAGTTGCATGGAACTGGGAGAAAGCATTTTGCAGACACTAGAAATGAAGCGTCCTCGGTGCTCTCTGAGCTGGATTGTTTTCTTGTAGATGCTTCATTACCCAAACTAGATAACACACCCAAACTAGTTTGAGTAAGGAAACATCTGCAAGAAAACAACCAAGATCAGAGAGCACCAAAGACCCCTCATTTGAACCCTGAGCTACAAATATTTCCCTTTATTGAGACACTAGAAATGTTCTCAAAAATTAGTGCAAACTTCTCAAGATAATTCTATAGGGTGCTTGTCCTCAGAAGAATTCTGAAGAGAAGCAATACCTTCCTGTCGAGAACATCTTGCATTCGTTTTAAGTACCACTGCCTGGAATTCATAGAATCCTAGGGCTGGAAGGGATCTCAGACTTCTTCTAG